ATAAAACCATAATATTTTCTCCAATCATAAAAAAAAGTTATTTTCATTTTTTGATTTAATTTTTACTTAAATTTAAATTAATTGAATTGTTGGATAAAATTTAGATGATATTAAATTAGTTGATAGCTAAGCAATTTTTAAAGTTTGATTCTCATAAGATCAATCTTTGACTCACTTTTATATTACTTGAATGGCTAGTATACTTGCACAAGATATAGTCCAGTCACACATACAAGGCCTGAGAGAAACCCAATAAAACGTGATACATTTATTACAAATAAATTCCTTTACAAATGTTGACACAAACACTCCCTTAAGCATGTGTGTATGTATGCGTGCGCGCGTGTGTGTGTCAATACTCCGCTCATTACATAGTTTCAAAATTTGAAGTAGACCCAAAGCATTGGTAAATATATCTACTAGCAATAATAACCTAGAAATATAATGCATGGCAATTCTCATTAATGCATTTTAATCCAAATGAAATGAGAGTCAACAAAATGTGTTTGGTTTCCAGATGTAATAGAGATAAGTTAAATATAGATGTAAGAATGAATGAAAGTTTAATACCATGTACTGCTAAGAAATCATATTTTCCTAAAGGCACTTAACCTACATCATTTCACAATTGTATTGTGTCATGGCTTTATATTTTATCTCAATGCTTGATCCAAACACCATCATTTGTTTCTGACTATCACACTAAACCAATTAACCTTAAACATACATATGCAAAACTCATGTAAATTTTATATCAACTAATCCAATACAATGAATGCAGTTTAAAACCATGGATTGTACTGCCAAGAAATCAAATTTTCCTAAAGGCACTTAAACTACATCATTTCACAATTCTATTGTGTCATGGCTTTATATTTTATCTCAATGCTTGATCCAACCACCATCATTTATTTCTGACCATCACACTAAACAAATTAATCTTAAGCCTATATATGCGATACTCATGTAAATTTTATATCAACCAATCCAATACAATCTACATTAAGAAAAGCATCCATATTTACATTTTTATTCATGGTGTATAGCAATCATCCCTAGGACCTTCTAGATATACCTTAAGATGTACAAAACTTCTTTCCAATATTTCTATTCGGAGGTTTACATGTGTGAACTTACAAAGCTCACAACAACAAAGACATATGATTAATGATAATAAAATAGATCAATTTATCAACCAACACATGATAAAAGGAATCCTAAAATTTCTTCAGTGTTCAAGAGCAATCTTCTGAGTGCCTATGAATTTGTTCGCAAAGATCAATCTCAGCCACAAAAAGGGTGGCTCTTTTTATTTTTAAGATGAAAAAGCTACTTTTGTACTATAGTTATATTATATTCCTAAAAAGTGTTCAGGATGGCCTAGAAGTTCAATCAACAAGCATTATTGTTGCTTTTTTGCTTCAATATTCATTTTTAATCACTCCTATAAATAGAAAGTCATCTACATAAACTATCAAGATAACAGAGTGAGATATGATGTATTTGACAAAAATTAAATGACTTATTATTTTATTGTGAAGGCTAATCTCAGCAAAAACTTTACAAACTTGTCAAAACAAGCCTGAAGTATTCGTTAAAGCCCGCCAATAGCATTGTTAAGCTCACAAACTATGGTCACCTCATGAACAATTCACCGTAGTGATTGCTCCAAATAAATAGCTTCAGTGAAATGTCCATGAAAACTAATTACTAACAACATTCTTTTGCAATAATGACCAACCTTGATAGATGGGAACAAACAAAAGAATCTGAACTGAATTGAGCCTAACTGGGAATAATGTGTCCAAGTAGTCGATCACAAAAAATTTGAGTAAAATTTGGTAAGCAAACGCACATTGTATCTATCTACATAGCCGTTAAAATGAAATCTAATAGTGTAAATCAATCAACATGGAAATGGCTAAATGTAGGAGGGAAAATTAGGTCCCATAAATGCTACTTTAGCAAGGAAGACATTTTGATATGCATAATCTATTTCCATTTAAGATCCAATAAAGTGTCCTAGTAATGTCCTACAAATACAAATTGATGATAATGACAAGGCAAACTAATTAAAGATCCAAGAAAAGATTATCAAAGGACATATAGAGTTAAACAAGATGATTAATACATTATCATTTATCTTCTCCATTAGTAATGCGTCAATGAAAATTAGAAAATTGTCTAAGAGGTAAATGCTCAACTAATTAAGGAGAATTATCCTCTCAACTAATTAATGAAAAGAAAAATGGTTGTGCAAGGACTCAGGAATGATAACATAAATTGAAAAATATATGCATCTCGTAATTGATTCATAATAATGATGGCGTTTTTTGGAAATGAGATTATGCCAGAAAGATACATTGAATATCTTGAGTAGAGTTTACATCAATATGAAAGAATACACAAAAGATGCATAAACGAAAAACTCTAGTTTGTATAAAAAGGTTACTGCCTTGAATAGGGAACTAGGAGGGTGACATCATCAAGAATGATGAATATATAGATTAAAAATGTTGCATGCAATCAAACCATGTTACCCAAAAATTGATGAAGAGCATTCAAATCAAATATTAAGGACAGGATACATCAAGTATTTGGTGATGCTTGAGTTTAACAACTTCAATCTATTGAGATGCTTATAGACATGAAAGTTGATGCATGATTCAATTGCCAACATCAAATGAGCAAAAGTTGAAGTGCATGCATTTCAGAATATTATAGATACAAAAGGTATTAATCATTACTGAAAATTGAAATTTTATTTACCAATAGACGTTCGTAAGAGACAAGAATTCAAACATGTACAGTAGCAAATACCCATGTAACTTGAGACTGATCATCAACAAACGTTACCAAGTGCCTAAACCTGGGTAAGAACAAAGACTAAGGCCCCAAACATCAAAAAGAGCTAAATTAGATCAAACACTAATAGACCTTGACATAAAGAAAAAACACCTAGTGATGCTTATCAAGTTCACAAGCAACACATTCATACATGGATAGAGAGAACATAATAATAACAAAATCTCAAAATTCTAATAGTGAAGAATGTCTCAAATGAAAAGCATTAATATAGAGTAATAATGAAAGAGAAGGCAAAAGATATCTTGTTCAGTAAGTATAAAATTCACTAATTTCAACGCCTCAACCAAACTTCTTCGCACTAGAATCCTAAAAAGCACAGCAAGAGATCTAAAAGGTTGCACAACCATTAGGCTTTGAGTTAAACTATAAATGGATAGTAAATTAATAGAAAATTTGGAAACATAGCACATTTTGGAGGGATAATACATTGCAAAGAGAGCCAAATCATTCCCCCATACATAAAATAATAACCATTAGCAATAATGATGAGTGGTAAAGAAGGCATAGAAGCAGTTGTTGTACATATGAGAAATGGTATGTGAACAAACAGAGAGGTCAATGAAAGTTGAACCAAGCAATCATAACCTTCCTAAAAGAAAGGAGACAAACCCCAAAAGAGATAGTTAGAGTGGAAGCACAATCAAAAATCACAAAGGGTTCAAAAAAATGTTTTGCAATGAAGAGATGAAATCATGGTGTTATAGAGAGAACAACTTAAGAGTAAAAAATATATATACATGGACTTGCTACTTTCCTTGAAATAGTTGGAGAGAAGAAAATCACATATTACCATGGTCACCTCTTGAATCGTGACAATTAAGGCAATAGAAGATTTGAGACTATATTACATCCAGGCAAAAATAATGTAATTAAATGCTTTCTATTTGAAAATTTTAATGGTGTAATTGTAAACCAAAGCGTTTCTTTGTGAGAACTGATAGAGTAGTAAAAAAGCCTCTCCCTTAAAAACTAGTTTGCACCATTATATTCAATTGTGGTACTGAAGGCAGAAGAGGGTTTTGGATCATTGAGAGGAGATTGAGAAGCCATGAAAGAGCGGAAGAATATAGAGTCAACTCAAATTACTGGTGAATGAATAATGAGTGCTAAAAGAGATGATCATGCATTTAAGTAATGGGTAAATAGCAACAACAAAAAGGTTGTGATGATGAAAAACAATGAGCTAACAAGGCAAAAGTAGTGGTGGTAGGGCCATGCAGGAAATCGAGTGAGCAATCGTATAAGCGTAAGTTAGCAAGAAGTGTTGTTATTGTTGTTGAACAAGCGAGTAAGAGAGTTTTCAAGCACAAGATCGTGGTCACTTGTTGGATTGTACGTGAGGTCACATCCACAATCAAGTTCAAGCACTGGGCGCACATTGCAGTCACATGCAAGTCCAAATATCAAGGAAGGGCAAGGTGGGGTAGCCTATGAGGTCCGCTTTCATGGAATGAGAAAAAAGAAAAAGGGAAAGTGCAGTGCCTGAGGTTATTAACCTCTCTCTGTACTATGTTGAGAGAATAATTTTTTCATGTATTATTTTGTTGAAGGATATCTTATTTATAATAGGGAAATGAATATAACTTTACAAGGGCACTGAACTAAATATGGCCTACTTACTATTAATGCTAACATAAGTGATAAGACCATCCATTTTTCTTTTTAGTTTTGTTTAAATTGGCTTTCAATGCCTTCGTTAATACCAAAACAGAAACATATTTCAACAAATTTAGTCATAAAAAGTAAGAGCAAAGCAAAATTACAATCTATTATTAAATCCTACATGTCTGAATTACTTATATTTGGGTGCATTCATTTTTCATTGCTACTAGAGCCAACAAATACAAGGAGAACACGACATCCTCTTCCATCACATCCAACTTAATATTACAGTCAAAAAAAAAAATCATAATGTATAATATATATTAGAATACATCCTCAAAGTTTCCAAAAAAAAATATTCATAAAAAACAGATTAGATGCAATCTCAAAATACAAGAATTACAGTTGTAATAAATTAGACAGACCTTGAAAAGCACCATGTGACTATTACAAGAAAGCAAGTTTTTTATAAAGTTCAGTGCGCAGTATTAATTAGGATATGGACAAGAAGAATAGGCATGGGAGAATACCATAGGAAGCAAGCTCTTGAAAGGAGCATAAATCTCCTCCCCGTTGTAAGAGCCAATCCTAATGGTGGAGGAAATAGTTGGTCTGCTGAACATTATCCTTCGTGGCCCATGAGATCCCCCTGTTTTCCACCATTCATTCCAAAATTCAAAATAAAATAAAATAAAATAAAAAACGCACAACAGCTATGATAGGTATGCTTGAAGTAAAACTGAGATCAAACCATTAAATCTGGCACCAATTCGAATCTAGCAGAGCACCAAAACAAAAGTAAAAAGAAATATAAAATAAACACTGCACTGAAAAAAAGCATGATCAAATCTAATCCAACTATATAGCATTATTTTTTTACTTAAATTTAGGAAACATAAAATCATAGCTTGTGTTGCAATGGTTTGGTTTAGTCCAGGTTAACTCAGTTTTATCAGGTATATTTTTGTAAAATATTTCAGTAAAGATAAGCTTTATTTCCAATAAATAGCAAGATACATATCACGTGTGAGATAATTTGATCTAAGCTAACTTATCTGTTTTAAAACATGTAAGAAACTTTTAAGAAAAATATCAAACATAAACCAAGTCAAAATGTACAACTTTATTATTTAGGAGTTGTTTGGGTACAAGTAGGATTTAGTAAATCAAAATTTCTAAAATCTCAAAGGTTAAATATTGAAAATTTTTTTGGTATGATAAATGTAAATCCAAGTAAACTATTTAGCTATTTGTTTCTAAATTTAATTGTTCATTTACATGGATAACTTTATTATATTTACTTTGCTTAAATCAAGATTAAGTAGATTATTTAAATTAAAAATAGATATGATATCAATTAAGATAACAAGTTATTAATTAAATAATGTTAAATTGCTTGTACAATAATTTTAAATAATCAAATACTTTATCAATTTTATTTTTAATTAAATTATAAATAACTGAGATTAATATCCTATTTAATTATTGCTTAACAGTTTATAAAGTAATTAAATGCAATAAATTCTATCTGATCAAAGTAAATCACAGATAAGATTAATATTTTTAAATTAATATATTTTTAATTATTTAGATTAATCAACAAGATTAATTGATATATTTAATTAAAAATTTTAATTTAACTAATTTACTTGATGTATTTTTCATGTTAAGAAACCTACGTCTTTTTCCCCCGACTCCCAAGTCCCGTCCCGTTCCCCAAATTCCCTAAACGACCCAAAAAGTCGAGACGGTGCTCCGTAGAGTAACGTGCGTAGTCAATGAAATCACGCCACGACACCCCACGCGACAGGAAAAAAAACGGCGCGGTAACACTAGGAATATTCTCCCCCGTGTTATTCATGTGTTATTGCGTGTTATTCATGTGTTATTGTGTCCTGGAAATATTTCTGGTGCTATAATAACACAATAACACATCAATAACACATGAATAACACACAATAACACATGAATAACATGGGGGTAATATTCTCCCTTGCTATCGCGCCGTTTTTTTCTCTGTCGGAAATATTCTCCCATGTTATTCATGTGTTATTGTGTGTTATTGTGTGTTATTCATGTGTTATTGTGTCCTGAGAATATGTGTCCTGAGAATATTCTTGGTGTTATTATAACACCAAGAATATTCTCAGGACACAATAACACATGAATAACACACAATAACACATGAATAACACGGAGGAGAATATTCCCCGTGTTACCACGCCGTTTTTTTTGTTGTGTGGGGTGTCTTGGTATGATTTCATTGGCTACGCACGTTACTCTACGTGTGTATTACTGATGTAATATTTTTTTCGGTGAGATGGCATTGACAGGAGTAGCTGGAGAAGGTTTCAAAGTGAGCAGTGGCGTATGAAGAAGAAGAGCAATTTGTGAAAATGACAGACATTGTTAAATCAGAACTATGTAGAATTTACTATATGCGGGATAAGAGGCAAAACGGAGGAGAAAAAAAGGTTCAAAAGTTCGTAGAATTTGAAATGGTCTTTCAAAATCTTTTGGCAAGATTTACGCCAAATCCCTAATAAATACCAGGTAAATCCTGCTACCCAACAGTATCTTAATATTTACATAATCATAGTAACAGTAAATCAAAGAAAAAATAGGCGATAAAATACTTACTCTCTATTAGCAATAACCGCAGCAGTGAGGGTGGATCCATTGTTCCCTCCCCAACCCACAAGCATCACACTATAACAAAAACCAAATAAGATATTGAATCCCAAGAAATGGAATGCGAAAACCTAAAATGGATGGTAGGGATAGGGTTTACCCGAGCTTGGGAACAAGGGTATCGGTCTTGAACTCGTATTGGACGGTCTTAGGCTTCACGATCCAGGCATAGGATCCATTCCGGCTCTCGTGCACTAATTCCGTGGTTTCATAGTTGTAAATGGAGTGGATCTCTTGCTCTCCATACTTCACATTAGGGCTCTCGACCTTGAAGGTTTCGACGAACATTTTCGCCCTTGTTTCTCTCTCTCTCTAAAGTTCCGAAGAAGGTGATGGAAAAGAGGTTAGAAGCGAAGAAAAGGGTGACTTTACCTCGTCTTCGCTCTTACAGCTCGGCTCTTTATCTACTGCAACTTGCCTCATGACAGACTATACTCTCTATTTATAGAGATTGTACAGCGTTGTTCGTCATAGCGAGTGTCCAGTTACAGTGCCAACAAACCTCGCACGTGCGACTAAGCGTGCCGACAGTTTTCTGGTGTCCCCCCTCTGCCGAGTCACATTAATAATATATTATACGGGCCTGTCAATGAACAAAGCCGACGTTAAGGGACTGCTCAAACTCGAGTTTATATTTTTTGTTATCACTATATAACTTCGGTTCATTTATATTTCTTACCATAATAATAATAATAATAATTAAATTATCATCAGATATATTGTCTAATATTATGGAGCTATTTAATTTCTAATCAAATATTATCGAACATTTTTTAAAACATTTTAAAAATTATTATAAATAAATATTATTATTTAATTATTCGAGACAAAACATACCGAATACTAACAAACATATTATTTTTTTGTGTTTGGGTGGTAAATTAATCGAGCTCAAAAAAATTATTTGTATTCGGCTCTCTATCTTAACAAATGAAACAAACACGAGCTCTTTAACAATCTGAACACGAGTTATTCAAGAACGACAAATTATTTTTTACAGCCTTAGATACGACACTCGCAAATTTTCATTATAAGACACAAATCTTGAGGCGTGACGCAAATCTTAAGACAGTTTATTGAGTAAAGAACATTCAAAGTTTAATTAAAAATCACCTAGAACTTTGATTTTAGCGAACTTATAATCAAGCTGACCGGCTTGACCTGGCTAATGCAATGACAACAGCATTGACTAGAACCAAGTCAGTTCAAGCTCAAATAGAGTATTTAAACTATTTTTAAAAGCTTATGACGCCCAATTGAAAAAATCAAATAATTATAGATCTGAAAATCTTATAGTCAGATCGGGTGTCTCGATAAGATGACTCCAATGAGCCCAAAATGATTTAATTCTCACATCATTAAGGCGCTCAAATATCCGCAGAACGTCGTCCAATTAAAGGAATTTATATGGGTCGTTGATTGGAGTGATCTAGATTCTTTCCTTATTTGTCGGGATGTCCCTCTTATACTCTATAAATAGAGTCATATCCTCTTCTTGAAAGGGGACTAAAACATGAACTTGGAGGAGGATCAAAGAGAGAATGAGATGAAGTCGAATGTTCTGCATTGAAGATCCGTTGAATGCTTCCTGCTTCTGCCGTCGTTAACTACCGCTCGTTGGCCACTGTCGACCGCACCCTAAACGATATGGAATAACGAGGCAGCTTGATGAACCATGACCAATGTTGTTGAGTAATGAATCACTTTGTTGGATAACAACTAGCATTGCAGAGTAACGAAGCACTGTCATGACCAACACTGCTGAGTGGCGAAGCACTTTGTGAAGTAGCTACCGACGTAACACACAGTGAAGCATATTATGGAGTAGCACGTCATCATGAACACCATGTAACAACACACTTCGAAGACAGTGTATCAAATTTCCCACAATCGCAATTCCTCCTGATAATCGTGCAACAAGTCCTGTATGTGAATATTGTAACTGTGTGATTTTTTCCCGCCTATGAGACAAGGGTATGTACATATACTCAACAAACTATAATGATTATTTTTGAATAGTTTGGGTGCAATAGTTTTTCCCCTTTTGAGGTTTTCACATAAAACTTATGGCGTCTCTAATAGCTACCTTTATTCTCTAAATGTGTTGGATTTTTGTGGAGCGCTAAGAAGTAAAATAATTACTCTGCCACCTTGAATCTTCTATTACACAATAGTTTGGCACCATCGACGGAAAAAATCAATCCAACCATCGAATGACTTCACAAAGGAATATCCTACTCCAACACTCATCATTCAGGGGGCAATCACGAAACCAAGAACGCCAAGCCTTTATCGCTTCTCATCATATAAGGCATTAACCTGCTTGCAAAGGAGCTTAAGGTCCCTCTTTGGAAGTTCGAGTGAGCGGGATGGAAGGGTCACAATATAAGATCCTTCAGCTCCTACACGAAGCACAACATTTGATGCTCGTACAACCAATTCAATAGCAGATGAGAAGTACCCTTCTTGAGCACACTCGTATTGGGCTACCTCCTCCCAATGGAACCCTTCCTCTGTAGAATGCTGACATCCTTGATACTGTGAGCCCCACTAATCAGTTCTGCATAACTAAACTGATTAGTAACCCTCTGTTGCTCACTGGAAACTTGGCTCAGTCGCATCTTGTTATCGCTTCTAAAAAGTTGATCCATGATGAGCTACAACACCTAGTTTGAGAAAAGTTCTCTCAAGGGAATAGAAATTACTTCCTCTCTTTTCATAATTTTTAAAACTCTTCACCCTTAGCCTAGGTGGTGATCTAACTAAGAGAATCCCCTTCGAAATGCGCAGTAGGGTAACTCTAACTTTTTTCATCAAGTGTCCCATCCAGAATGTGTGATGGGAAGGCTCCATCTTTTCTTCAAGAAGAATTCCCTCTGGAATACTCTGTAGGTCCAACTTTAATACACGAAGAATCCCATCAAAAATGCGCAACAAGGAGACTCAAAGTTTTCTTCATGAAGAATCTTCTTCGTAATGATTGAATGGGAGACTCCAAATTTTCTTCATGAAGAATACCCTCAGAAATGCGAGGCAGAAAAATTTTAACCTTTCTCCTCAAGGAATCTCCTCCAAGGTGTGTGACAGAGAGACTGCTACTTTTTTTAATGAATAATTCACTCCAAAATTCACAGTCGAGAGACCACAATCTTTCTTCTCAAAGAATCCCATTCAAAATGTGTGGTGAGAAGACTCTATTTTTTCTTCTCAAAGAATCCCTTCTAGAATGCAAATGGGAAAACTCCAAACATTTTTCATGAAGAATCCCCTTCGAAATGCTTGATGGGAGGACTGCATCTTTTCTTCATGAAGAATGCCCTCCCAAATGTCCAGAGAGTACACTCTAACTTTTATTCACAAAGAATACCATCCAGAATGCACGATGAGGAGGTTTCAATTTTTTGTCACGAAGAATCCCCTTCAGAATATGGGGTGGGGAGACTCCAACTTTTCACTTGAAGATCCTCCTATGGAGTTCGCGATAGGGAAACTCTAACTTTTCTCTTTGAAGAATCTGCTTTGGAATGCATGGCAGTGAGACTCAACTTTTCTTCATGAAGAATCTCTCCTGGAATGTGTAATGGGGAGGCTATGACCTTCTCCACATAATCCTCTCTAAAATGTTATATGGGGACACTCCAATTTTTTCTCAGCTTTTGGCCAATTTTGTGAGCTTACAGGGGCCAAAGACCTGCATTGTGACTTCTCAAAAGAGTTTCAGTATGAAACTTTTTATCCAACACCACAAGCAAAATGATTAATACGTATGATTCATCAATTTTAAGCTTCAATCCATAATAGAAGAGACAATCCCATAAAGCGCTTATAATTCTGAGCAAAATCAAATAAAAAAAAGAGATACATATTAATTTTGACTTTAAAAAAATGTAAGCGAGGGAATGACCAATCAAAGATCTCAAACATAAAACATACTAAGGGGGTGTTTGGTAGGATATTTTTAAGAGCATTTAAATTAGATTTAACCTAAATCCAGCCAAACATAATAAATAAGTTATATAAATCTATCATTAAGTTAAATTCAATGTTTGCTTCTTCCGTTTATTAAATCCGGATTTACTAAATCTATTTATAAGTTGAATTTAATGGATTTAGTGCAGGAAAAAGATATTTTAAAAAATTTATGTCAAACACATCAAATAGATTTAACGTTAATTGAACTAAACATCATTTTGGATTTCATACTATTTACATTTAATAAATTTGGATTTACCGGATTTAGTAAATCCTATTAAACTTAAACCCTACTTGTAGCCAAACAAATCCTAAGTTTACATGATTTAGTGTGATTCATCTATGCTACGACACCAAGATTATTTATGTGAAAAAACCTCGTAAGCCTAGTTATAATAATACACTATAAGTGTCTAAGTATAAAATTACATATTTTTCTCATAACTAAGAAAGTAGAGTTGTAATTTTAAACCACATACAACACTTGTTCATATGCAATATATAGAAATTTTTAAGATTCCAAAAAGAATCGTCTGATTCTAAATACGGCGGTCGTAAGTGATCACCGAAACTTGTCGCTAGATCTCCGATACGAACTTATATGCTATGGTTGTATTTCATATATAATGTTAGCAATTAGAGGTTACTGTAGGCGGCAAGCAGAAGCGACCGATGATGGTCGATGGTGGTCTACAAAAGCTAGATATTATCATCAAATCTTCAATATGGTGTTGCATGTTACGACCTTAACTGAGTTTCATCGTTACCAATTATTGGTCACCAACAGTAGCGAGTAGGGGCGACAAACGATGATCAATAACTACGGATGCCGAAATTTATCGTCGGGCATTCAATCCAGAGCATGCTCACGAATTTTTTATCTTCTCCCCCTCCCTTCAAGTTAAGAGAGGGTCTAGTTGTGGCCACTTGGGGAGATAGATTTTGGTCATCCGCGAATAACTTTTCCAACCCTCTGATCCATCAACTCATATTGATTCATCTTGATTATATGAAATTTTTTAATGATTTAAGGGCCTTAATGACTTAAAAATTAAGGGAGCTTAGGGTCATTGGATTCATTTCATCGAGCCGCCCGATTTGAGCATAAATATGTCAATTTCGATATTCAATTGACCATCCAAAACCTTTAATAGTGTTTTAATTACTTGATTTGTGCTTGATTAGATTCAGATTAAACAAATTTCGGTATCATCAAGATCATCTTGTCAAGACAACCAATTTGACTATATTCTTTTTGAAATTGAGGGTCCTTCGTGTCATTGAATTTAAATTTGGAATGTTTCTTTCTCAAAAATGTCTCAAGATTCATGTTAGATGATAAAAATTTCTTGATGAAGCATCATAAATAAAGAAAAATATTACTCTATTTATATTAACGATTGTGAAAAATCACAACCACATTGTTGACCTCACTTTTGGTTCAGGTCTAGAA